TTCGACGATCTGCTGTAATAAATATATCGCGTCTTCGATATGTGATGACTTTTGATAATGAATAATGTTTAAATAAAACACTTAAACGGTTTAAAACACGATATACTTATATTAGTTAAACTATTTTATATCGCGTTTTAAACCGTTTTTACATACCGTTAACCGTTATTTGAAAATTATTTTAACTACGGACCGACGTTTCGGATGCTTAGCAGCAGCCGTGGTTACGGAGCGCCAAACAATTTTCAAATAAATTTACTAATATATATCGCGTTTTAAACCGTTTTATTTAAATGTGTACTACTCGCGTAAACTACAGACAGTATTTAATTAATAATGTTTATTGAAATGTGGCTTGTTTAATCCTATACAAGTTTGTTACTGTGTTAGTCTAGTGAAGTAGCATAGTGGTGTCATTTTAGCAGTGAGACTGAGATTCTTTCATACATGTATTTTTTTAAATCTTTAACCCTCTGCGCAGCGGACGCAACTCAACTCAGTAGTTCCTGAGATTAGCGCGTTCAAACAAACAAACTTTTCATCTGTATAATAGTATAGATAATTTCCAACACATTTATTATAATGAAATGTTTAAAAGTAACTAAATATACTTCGAATTTTATTATAAACAATGCAATAACAAAAGACAACCCTTGTAACCTTCAACACAAAATAAAATAATTGCACACACACATACTTTTAATCTGTAAACCAGCAACCGACGTGACTCAGCTTTTTATTATAATTACACAATTGACAGACGCGTAAAAACTTGGAAACTTAGTATACAATAGACCATTAATACGGACGTATTTATGTAAATAAAAATTGAATTAAGTTTTGGCAAGTTTGTCAATAATTACCTCGTCGTGACTATATAGATGTGATTGTGGTACCACGTTGAACTACTTTGCATCAGATATCGAGCAAATTAACAACAAAAGTTATTATTACTACTGAAAGTTGATCGACTGTAGGAGTTTTTATTATAATTATTTCTTATACACTTCATTTATTGAATTATAAACTCTAATACACTTGATACTAAATTTACTTTAGGCTTTGTTTTATATATAATAAATTTTATAAATTGAATTTTACTCTTCATACAAATTTTAACATTAAAGTTTTGTAGTAGATATGTGTTGATTTTGTAAAAATGGGGAAGATAAGTTCGCGGTCTGTTTTATTTAACACATCAAGTGTTCCAGATAAATACTGACCCAATAACCGATATAAAATATCCTTATCATAGGTATAGTTTGTTTAATATAGGGTGAAGAGTTCGGTAGTTTGCAAAGAAGGGTAATAATTGTCCGTTTGATTATTGAAGGATGAAAAAAGAAAACATACAGTCAAAGTAATATACTTTTTAATACAATATTTATTTATTATTTCACAACGCCATTTCTACATTAATTCATTCGTTAGCTGATCCGGCTAGCATTGGTAATAATTAGTGCAATGCCTTAATGTATATCCAATTGGATTACAATAAAAACGTTACGTTTCGAGTTGGAGATAATTTAAACAAGAATACTTTTTGATAACCACAACGGAAGCCCTCAAAGTGATTTTTTTTCGTCAAAAATGTGGTGAAAACTCCCACATTTTTCCCGATTTCTTCGCTCCTTTTTCTCGCAGCCTAAATAAAGCCTTCCTCATAAAATGCCTTATCTAATACAAAAAGAGTTATATATTAAAACCAATAGCTACTGAGAATAGCGCGTTTCAACAGCCTAAAATATAAACGCTCCCATCGATTTTGTAGTATATTTTCTGACAAGAATGTCTGTCAAACTTATCGTCCTACGTTCGACAAAGTACAGCGACGATATACGTACGCCGTTTGTATCGATCCCATACTGAGTTATCGCGAATTGTATGATGTCATCTTGTTGACCGAAAAAAGTAAAAGTAATCGAAAGCCCAGCCTTGGATGCGTCGTCGTATTGATTCAGATAGTGATATTTGCTTCCCGTCTCTCGGTATTCTTTTTAATGTCTGAAACTTCATATAGAGCTTATTGTATTACTAGTTTAGTTATAAAAGTATATTTAAATAAAATACTAAGACGCCCTCAAACACTAAATACATTAAACTTAATTTATACTAGCTGAGTTAGCTACTTCGTACGCGTAGAATAATTATTTTGGATATAAATTTTTGTTTTTTCGAACCTCATAAATTTGAGCCGTTACCCACGACATTGTCGGCGTTCCGTCGTTCTTGCAAGTTAATCTTAGAAGATAGACATATAGTGTCGCGGATTTTTTTTTAGATCATTTAAAGAGGTATATTTTTATTCATATTCATATTTTTTTGTTATCTTGAACCGTTTTCGCAGTGTAACCAATGAAAACCCACAAGGATGAAAAATTTTCCCCGTTTTTTCGACATTTTCCGGAGTTTTTTAGCTCCTATTAGTAACAGTGCTATGTTTTATAGCCTATAACATTCCTCAATAAATGTTCTAACTAACACAAATAAAAACAGTTTTTCAATTCGAGCCAGTAGTTCCTGAGATTAACGCGAACAAACAAACAATCTCTTCAGCCTTATAATATTAGTACAGATTTATTTTAACTACGACTTGAAGATAGATTTCGAACAATATTGAATCAGACATATTTATTACGTAAGTATCTTAAGTTTACGCGAGTAGTACACATTTAAATAAAGCACTTACGTTCTATATGCAAAATATATTAGTTAATATAGTTATTATATTAAGTGGAATAGCATAGCAAATTCGACTTACACATTTGGAAGACGCTCCATCTTCAGTCCCCCGTGACCATGGCTGCATTAAAAAGTCCAAAATGCCGGGTCACAGTAAAAATAAATAAAAAATAAGTTTTACTAATATATTTTGTGATTTCAGACGTTTAAAGTATTTAGTTAAATGTGTAATTCTCGCGTAAGCTACAGACATTCCAAAGTTATTTTAGATTTTGGTAATAAAAGTGCAGTATTTATTGAAACTGAATGTATGGCAAGTAATTATTGTTTTGTTTAGATGATGACCTTTTATGATTCTCTAATATTGGACTTGATACAATACTTGTTTTACTTAGGTCGTCTTCTCTTTCTGAGTGTAGAAAGAGAAGAAAGATTACTTTTATCTCTTTTTACAATGGTATAATAGTGACTTTATTAGTAGTAGATGGTAGTAGTTACAAAAAGGATTGCTTGAATTATCTTTAGTACTATAAGTGTGCCTGTTCTCATTAATAAATTGCGTTTTTCATGGGGCATGGAACGACCACATTTATGAACACGTTTTCATATATGAGATGTAGTAGATCGATCGGGATTAGAACTTAGGACTTATCGCTTAAAGCAACGGGTATTTCATTCTTGAGATACCACAGTGGTAGCCTGCTCTCATTACTTATTTATATAAATCACAGAATTAGCATTTCAAGATATAGATCTTTATTACCGTGAAGAGCAAATTTATGTCAGTCTCAAACGAGTTTAGATCGCACTTGACCGATTTCTTGTTATGCTCCACATTTGCGGTTTGTTTTTCTTATTGAACGCGTCCAAACAGTTACATATGTATGTATATGGGCTGTACCACAAATCACTGTGTTATTGCTCAACGATGCAGTTCGGAACAGAACATGGCGTTTCATTTAAATAAAACACTTTAACGATTTAAAACGCGATAGATTAAAGTTTTTTTTAAATTATTTAACTACGGTGCGCCGTTTTGGCTTTTCACGTTAGAACCGAGATTTGGTTCTCGTTGAAGCTATAAAATATGAAGATCAGTCTTAATTACGTTATTTGATTATTTTTCAAATTCTGGTACATTTGAAATCTTCTTTCTGTAGAAGACTTTTTGACAGCAGTGCAGCGGTTAAATGTGGCACAAGATTATAGTCACAAGTTCTTTTTTTTATGATAGAGGAGACCAGACAAGCGTGAGGTACACTTGATGGTAGATGATGTGCCCCAGCCAAATAACTTCTTAACAAGATGCGCTGTCGCCCTATGTTTTTCATCTCTGGAAAGTGGCCCGGACGGAATTTCGATATTCCTACCACCCACTTAATATTTAGATTTCCAGACGAGGTCCAATATGTTTCACAAAAATTATAAATTAATTTGAATACTCCTCCTTTCTTGTTGTCATAGGTGTTAATAATAAAATAAATAAAATTTGGAGGTAGTTTTGTTTTTTGGATAAGATGGCCGAAGCTAGCGCGCGCTGTCAGTCGGTTTTGGGTGGCGCTCGTGTTAGTTGATTTTGCATTTTATTTTGTTTATATGACTACCAAACAAGAAGTATATATATATAGGAGTATATATCCAGTGCGCTATTAAGTGTAATTAATACGTAATCGTAAATTCATCGTGCATATATTATGTGACGTGAGTTTTACAAGCCCCCGTTGTTTATTAATTATATTCCTATGGACGCCCTTTAATACCAGTTACAATACAGACAGACACGCCACAATAATAGTGATAATTAAATCTGGACAAGCACTGGACCGGAGGTATGTACTTAGAATATTGAAGCTCGTATTAAAAGTGTGTATTGACATTAAGTTAGTATAATGTATATTGTAAATATTTTAATAATTACTTCATAACTCGATCTCCATATCTTCACGTATACTGTTAGCCTATACGTTTTCAGACATTTATTTAAGCAAGAAATAAATTTTTATTTAAGCGTAAACACTGTAATTTATTATTAAGATTATATTACTTGGTGAGAACGTAATGACCGTATAAATAAAACAATTTGAATGGTTTAAAATTTAACTTCGTTTAATTTTTAATTAATGTAAGTAATTATAAATTTATTTTAACAAAGACCCGACGCAGACGTTTCGGATGCACTGCAGCGGACGTGGTTGTGGGGAACTGAAGATATAGGGTCAAGTTTATAACTAAACAAAAATGTTTCAAGCCGTTAAAAGTGTAGCATAAACTACAGCCTTAATAAATATGTCCGATTAAATATTGCGCGCACTCTATCTTCAATCAGCATTAATGGAAATATGATTTTCTGCGCAACGCCCGTCCGTGGTTCGTGCAATAGCTTCCGCTAGCTGACGAAATCGAATAATAGCCACACACAACTCCTGGAATGCAGCCATTGATATGGTAGGTGATAATGTAGGCCTGTCGCAACCGTCGAAGAAATCGTGAGTGCTATTTGGTTCAATGCGTGGAACGACTGATGTTTGCTTATGCGTCTTTAGAACCATTTTAAACGAGTTCAAATTAGAATTATATGGGACTAGGTTATAGGTGTTAATATTATGTGTACTTGCGTAGCCTAGATTTGATTGAGTTCTTTTACGTATTATAAATTTAAAAAACAAAAAATGTAGGTACATGGGCTATCGATTTTTGCCTTCATTATTTCGAAATACACTTTTTATTACCATAAAATAATAATTACCAACAAGTGAAACTGACAAAGTTTCCAATGGTGCTGATACTTAAATATGAAAGAATGATAAACATAGACGAAGATAATACCTAGATCAGAAAAAATACATATTTCCCTACTGAAATGTTCATAATCCACATTTGAGTAAATGAAATATCAGCCAACTTCTCACAGTCGGAATCGTAAATGTCATCTTGACCTTTGCGCGGGGTGTGGCTGAAATAGCCCAGAGGTCGACCTAAAGGTCGGGCTTGCTTAGGTCTGTAAAGAAGAAATTTAGTATATTGACAGACTTGCAGATTAGAACATCAAATTCCTTATAAAGCAAACCACTTCCGAATATATTTACTAGCTTGAAATTAAGTAAGTTACTACTTATATAATATACCACTGTACTGTATGTAGTTTACGCAAGTAGTAATTTTATATTTAGATGATAAAACACTTAAAGCTTTGAAACATATTAGTTTACTTGTATTTTAGGTAACAGGTTGCATTCAAAACGCTGGGCGTAGTTAATATAAGATCATTTTTTTTTCACATTTATTCATCATTTACCCAAGATTTGAACACAGGAGCTCTCGTGTCCCTTTCTAATCCATTTTGTGAGAACTATACTCACACTGGTTATACACAATTATATTTAATTAGATATCTGATAAGATCCACCCGAAAAATAATCAAAACCTTATTACATACTGTCTATAGTTTACGCGAGTGGTACACATTTAAATAAAACACTTTAACGGTTTAAAACGCGATATATTAGTTATTTGGAAATGATTTTTAACTAATATATCGCGTTTTAAACCGTTAAAGTGTTTTATTTAAACCTTATTACACTTTTTTTCCCTTGATTTACCTTTAATATTCTTTCTGTCAAGTTTAAAAAGACTGACCAACCAATACAGAATACCTTCCTATACGTATAGGAAGACAGTGAAACTAGTATTAAAGCAAAGTAGACCAAAGAAATATCTCTTCTTGTATACGTCTGTCTAAAACAATTGCGACATAAAATGAAGCAAAGAACTTTATGAATGACTAGCCGTGTCAGCGACTTCGTCCGCGTAGATTAGTTATTTTGCGCGTATAAATTTGTTCCTTTATTTATTTACAAACCTCCATGAATCTTTATAATGGGATATAACGTCGATGAACTAATAATATACTTTATTATATCCCACTGTTTCTTCGACCCTTTATGTCGCAGCGTGATGTCTTATAGCCTAAAGCCTTCCTCGAGAAATGTTCTAACGAACACAAAAAAGATTTATTTAATTCGAATCAGTAGTTTCTACATAGCTGTTCATACAAACAAACAAACTCTTCAGCTTTATACATTAGTATAGAGAGCGCGCTGAAGCGTTACTCCGCTTCCCTTCTTTGTGTTGTGACATGCGGTATATAGGTTACATTACGTAAATATTTTCAATGAACTTTCATATAATGTCTCTATAGTTTACGCGAGTAATGCACATTTAAATAAAACGTTTTAAACGGTTGAAAACTCCTTGATTGTCGATCAACTAATATCTACATTTGACGTTTTAAACCGTTAAAAGTGTTTTAACAAAAGATCATGTTTATGCAGTGTCTAGTCACTATGTGGGTACATGAAGTTTGTCAGATTGGGGTTTGATAATAATATAATTATAATATAATAATTGTATTGTGGCAAACCAAGGTATTAAAAATTTTCGACAGCCTTTTTTAGAGAACCCGCATCCTAACAGTGGTATGTTTATTTGGGATATACTATATGGTCTAGTTAGTAAGTATAGTTATTTGGACCTAAGGTTCGATTTGTGCCACAAAATTATCTTTTAATGTGGTAGAAATATCGTAGTTTTAATAAATGCACATAAAAAAAAACCAAAAATGTACTTTTTGACCTATTAAATTGATTTACTAAATATTTTAAAACTTGACTTGTATATATTTTGTATACTGACTCCGCGGTGAAGAGAAAAGAAATAAATGAAAACGTACAGAGGTAAAAGAATTAATATGTGACAATCTCTTGAATAAATTGAAAGTCATATTATTAATATTACTTAGTTATGGTGAGCTGAAGTGGGTCAGAGAATGTTGAATTTTTGGATATCGCAAGGTTTAAGATCCTAATTACGTTCTTTATTAATTATAAAGAAAATCAATTCAAGTACTAAAATTAATTTTATGTCGAGAGAAAGGCAGGCTAATAAAATGGACACACTTTCATTACTAGACGTAATACTTGTTTTAAATGTATCTGCAGTTTACGCCTACACTTTAAGACAGAGAAGATTGGGGTTCACTTCGCGTTTTAAACCGTTAAAGTGTTTTATTTAAATGGATAAATGTCCCCAGTGGGGATCGAACCCGTTGTTTATTAGCCATACATTGCTACCAACACCAAACACAAAACGTTATAACTCTATAATCTACCTAATTAGTAATCGATATTACATATTTTGACACTGCTGCGATTGGTGCGTTCCATTGAAAGAAAAAATCATCCAATAAATTTCGTGTTTTAAACTGTTAAAAGTTGTGTAACTATTCTTATGACTCTGATGAATTACTTTTCCTGGTTAACTGTTTGTTTATTCATCTGTGAGTAAAATAATACATTGAATAATTTATTTTTTTACATTGTTAAATATTACTTTATAATTAATTTTAAATTAAGATTGAACTCTGTTTGTATAAAAATAGCATCGAATATTTCGGTCTTTGAAGACCACACAACATTTACATGAAAAATATATTATGTTTTATTTCAATCGTTGGATTTATGTCTATATATTTTCGGTCCAGTGCTATTTATGTTTTACGACCACTATGTCCACGGAAGAAGTAATTAATAGGCCAGCATTAACATAACATATAAAATCTATTTTCAAATGACATTTCTTCATTAAATATTTAAGCTTTGACATATTTTAATCTGTTAATTTGTACCTATGACACTGCGAAATAACTCTGTATAAGGGCAGCATCGTATTTTATTTTTATTATATTTATGAAAGAAAAGTATTTTTTTCAAGTAATTAGTAATTTGTATTGCTAATATTAAACGGGTCGTAAATTCGATTCCCACCTGGTGCAACGTAAAATAAATTCATACTTTTTCTCCATTGTTGGACTTTCCCTGAAATTTTTGTGTATTCGATAGGCGTTACATCGGGTTTTGGCTTCATTTCTGTTGATTTTCGAAAGTCCAAAGCCATAATAAGCCGACAGCGCATCTTGTAGATGACTGAGGTTGATTTTCTTTCGCTGTAATAATATATTTATTATATCAATCGATATAATTTAAAAACCGTTAGTCATATAGTAGTTAATATTCTTTTGCTGTCTGGCGTTTCCTTGGCATTGTTGGCCCAAACAATCGATCAAACTCATTTTAAACAATGCTAAGGTTTAGAAACAGCTAAAAACAAAGACTTTTGTTTTAGTAATACGAAGAAAAGCAATTTATTGTCAAGAAAGTGATGAAATTATATTAATAAATATTCAATTACATAACGTCAAGAGTTGTTTGTTAAAAATTAAAAATATACTTTCAAATAAAACTCTTTTAACGGTTTAAAACGAGAAATATATGAACATTTATTATTATTTTATATTTATTAAAAATCTACATTGTAATATTAATTTATGTTCAAATGCTACCTAACTTCAGTTGTGTCTGTTGTTGAAGCAAATTGTTGATACACATAAATACAATCAATTAAACGATGTGAAACGCGAAGTAAGTATAATTTGCAGATAAGCATCCGAAACGTGCGGCGATAGTTAAAATAAATTTTATTCAAGTTAATTAATACATTTCGCGTTTTAAACCGTTAAAGTGTTTTATTTAAAGGGGAACTACTCGCGTAAACTACAGACAGTATTTGTATGTAACTTCTTTAACTAATTTTGCGTACTGTTTCTTATTATATCTGATTACTAAGCAAATTAATTCGTAATTCAGTGAGCTTAATGCATCCAAAATAAAGCTATGTATATGCACTTTTCTTACCCGTTGGCTACCGTTATAGAATGACCGGCAAGTCTTTTCAATGTAGAATCGAATGCCGTCGGCACTTTTATAATTGCCCACTAACCAAGTGTCTTCTAGAACCATTTATGACTTTCAAAATGAATTAATCGCTAGCAGCGCGTTATTACGAAACGAAGTTCTAATCATTTGTTGAAAGTATCAAAATCGGTTCAGCCGTTTATATTGTCACGGTACAATAAAATAGATTTAAGTACTGCCTGTAGTGTGTCTAGTAAACATTTAAATAAAACACTTAACAAACCATATATTAGTTAAATTATTTGAAAATGATTTTTAACTTCTCCCGATATTCCGGAGATTGTCGTCTCCCCGCCACCACGGCCTGTCAAAGCATCTGACGAGCAGTTTACGCGACGCTAGGAAAAAATTAAATACTATCTTGACAAAGAAGAACAGATGTTACCGACGGTAGTCTTCCTTTTTCATGATACCTAAGGACATAGATTTTTTTTGACTTTGGATTTCGGAAACCGCAGATATATTAGCTAAACTTTCGTGGAGTTTCGACCCGACAGGATTTTCGATATTTTCCTACGACCCACTTTAGTATCAGATTTCCAGCCGTAGTTTAACACGGCAGAAAATCATAAAGGGGGTTTACTACTTAAAGAGATGAAAAAAATTTTGTATTGTTCAAAGTTCTTGCTGCATCTTCTTCTATTTCACAGCGCATGTTTGTATTTAAAAAATCAATAACTTCAGGATTAGCCGTTCTAACAAACAAACAAACTCCTCAGCTTTATATATTAGTATAGATA